TGTGACTTATTCTGAAATACCTCTGCTTGGCACAAATATGTGTAGCATGCATCAGAGATTGAAGGGAATCCTTAAAGATGGTAGATTATTTGAATGTGTGACAATTGGAACTTGGATGCTTTTCTTTTCCTTAGTTTATATTTCAAATCAGTCTGTATAATATGCTTTGGAAATTTCATCTACATTCTTGCATGCACGCATTCTTTCATCTGAACTTCATAGAACTAACTTATTGAGCACTGCCAGCCAGGCTCCAAGTTCTGTGCTAGGTTCTGCAGATTTAGTGGTGAACACAAAGACAGGTCCCTATTCTTGTATATCTTCCAACCGAGCATGAAAGATAGCTAATGATATTAGATAATTACAATAATACTCTTTATTGTTACAATATGTATTATTACCTTATATAATAATTACAACAATTACATTTGTGTTAAGAGTTTTAGGAGAAAATGCTTTATTCCCCCGGAAAGGAAGTTTCTGTGAGGGCAAGGATTTTTATCTTTTTTGTTCATGCTGAATTCCCAGTTACTCCAACAGTTCTGGCATGCATTTCTGCATGGATTTTGAAACACAATTTCTACCATATATGAGAGGGCCCTAACATGGTTGGCGAAATCTGGGGAAGTGAACTTCCCTAGGAATTATCATTGAGCTGAGACCTTCAGAGTGACTAGGCATCAGTTGGTTAAGTGTGGCACAGGTAGGAGGCCTCCCTGGTGGCATAGGGATTCAGTCTCAGCACATCACACTATCACCTGTGCAGCCTGAGCCTGAGTTCTAACCCTGGCCAGGGAGCTAACCCACATGGCACAGCAGACCTCACTTGCCTTGCCCGCTGCTCCCCTCAGCAGTATATTTCAGTGAATCTGCCTGCTCTGCTACTTACTCTGTCTCTGGTGAATCCTCTAACCCCCTCCCACCCCATCTGTGGCCTACATCCCAGTTCCTCTATGCATAAATTAAAAAAAGGGAAGGAGTCTTTAAAAAATAGAGTGGTACAGGGGCCTCCCCGTTGGTGCAGCCATTGAGCACTGGGTTGCGAAGCTGCCCACAGCCTCTGCAGCACCGGTTCGATCCCCGGCCGCCGGGTGAGGGTCTCACATGGTGCGTAGATCTCTCCTGCCGCCCGCTGCTCCCCTTAGTAGTGTATCGTCAGTCTGCCTGTACTATTTCCCACTCGCTCTGGTGAATTCTCTCACCCTCCCATGCTTCTGACTGTACCCAGTGCTTGTATAAATAAATAAATAAATCTTTAAAAAAAATAGAGTGGTACAAGTAGAGAATGGAAATTATTCAGGAAGAAGAATTTGTGAGAAGACTGTACAAGAGGAAGAGCTGAGAACCACTGAGGCACTCAAGGCAAGAGAAAAAAAAATGGGGTAGAGTGAGTCCAGAGATTTAGGCACTAGCCAGATAATGTGGGATGTTGAAGATGACTGTCATCATGCAGAGGTGCTGAAGGGTTCTAATCTGAGATCGTCCTGCTGATGGAATAAAGAAGACTCTCCTGGATGATGGCATCATGTGCCCTGGGCTTAAAGACTGGATCTTGGGAAGGATTTGGAAGCTGAAGGATACCATCATTCAGTAAAAACTGTAGACCTCACACACCCAGCTCCAGGAGATTGTGGGAGGTACACAGTGAATGTGTTTTGATTAACAATGACGGGGGAATGCTTATTTATGTTCGGTGACTTTGCAAAAGAAGCAAAGTCTTCTGATTTAAGACCCAGCCCTTGCTGTTGCTTACTGTGTGTGGTCTTGAGAAAGTCACCTAAGCTCTCTGAAATAAATGCATGTAAAGCATCAAACACAGTGACTATTTCATAGTAAATTCCACCTTGATTCTCACATTTGCACTTTCTTACTCAATAAACATTTACTGCAAGTGTAATATGTACCTGGCCCAAGGCTAAGCACTAAGGATCCTGTAATGAATTAAGACATTAAGAAAAATTTCTTGCCTGGCCTACCTACTTGAGATAGCTTATTTTGATTATCAAGTGAGATTATGCATGAAGAGGTTTCGTAAATTAGAAAGTGATGTATAAACATGAGTAGTTTTTATTCTATAAACTTGCCTATTTATTGATCATCACCTTCAAGCATTAACCTATAAAATTACAACTGAAATCACTTATGGGACTAGTCAAATGTAATTACAACAATTCTAGCTATTATTTATTTTTGTTCTTATTAAAGTTCCAGGCACTATCTTAAGGGCATTACAAGTATTAACTCATTTGTCCTGACCACACCCCTGTGAAGAAAATGCGGCCCAGAAGGAATAAAGCCCTTACCCTGGAGTGCACTGTGAGAAGCACCAAACCCAGACTGGACCCCACATGCTCTGTCTGAAGGCCACATGCTGAGAACCAGTGCATACGGCATGGCAGCAGGACTAGAAACTTGTATCTTTGGAAGATTGACCATTGTTTGCTGTCACCCCATCCCCCTCCAAGTAACATGCATTTAATTAATATACAAATAGCAAGTTCCATGAGGAATGAGGCCATGTCTATTTTTTCTTAAAGATTTATATGCATACAAGAGTTGGGGTGTAGGCCAGAGATGTGGGGGGGGTGAGAGGATTCACCAGAGACAGAGTGGGGAACAGAACAGGCAGATCTACTGAAAAACACTGCTGAGGGGAGCAGCGGGCGAGACAGGAGAGGTCTGCTGTGCCATGTGGGTAGCTCCCTGGCTGGCCAGCTCCTGCTACAGAGGCTGAGGATTGCTTCATAGTGTGGTGCTTAACCCCTTGTGCCACCAGGGAGGCCCCAAGGCCATGTCAGTTTTTATCAACTATGCCTAGAACAGTGTCTGGCACATAATATGGGTTCAGTAAGTATACTCTTAATGAGTGCTTTCTAACAGCTGAAACACACTATTTGATGCAATCAGATTGCCACCTTGCTGTAGTTAAGAACTGGGCTCTGAAATGGCTGAAGATCATAAAGGCGAGAGAGCCCTAATCACCAGTTATTTCCGATCTGGTAGAGAACAGTATTCAGAAAGATGTAGAGTTCCTTACCTAAAGATATTTTGATGATCAAATTTGAAATCCATATTTGATTAAATGAAATAAAGATCTGACTCACGTAGTCCTGTTTGAACTACAGCATGACAGTGATGATCACCAAGAGATCCAGAGTGCTTGGTCCCAGGCCCATATGTTGCCGGTGTTCTCAGAGGTTCCATGAGATTGGGTAACCAGCCCGCAGCCTCACAGTATGCTGACAGCAGAGGCAGCACTGGTTTTGGCTCAGTAAATAAAGTGGCTGTCTATGACACTCAGCAGTTTTAGACTACTGCTCTAGTTTATGCTCACCTTTTCCCAGTTTTATACTTTGATTTGATAGGGGGGAGGGATCAATTAGGTTATTAACAGGGGAGTTGGTAGGAGAGAAGGAGACTACACCGGTGCTTCTCATTCTGATTCCCTTTTGGACTTCACCTTCGCGGTGAGTTGAAGCAATCGTATTACCCCCTACTATAAACTTTTCACGAGCTGCTCATGTCCTGCAGCAAGATTTCCTTGTTCATGTGCAGGAAGATGATGTAGCTTCTTACTTCCACTTCTTTGCCTGCTGTGCCCTGCACCCTGTACCCTCCTGACCTCAGTATACCCCACATCCATGCCTCACCTCTGTCTTCCCTCCCCTGTGGCCCCTCCAGCCCTCCCAGCTCCAGCTCAGATGATAAGGCTCAGCACCTTATCCTCTCCTCTAGGAAGCCATCCTTGAGTTCCCTCCCCCACATTTCAGGCCAATACCTCCCCCTCATTCCTCTCATACCAAGTGGTGCTGGTCTTGGGACAATATCAGCTGTGAACTTCTTGAGAGATTTTTAGATCTAGATTCTAATGTGAATTCGGAGATGACCTCAACATATGACCTGTACTAGTGACATAATATATGCTTGCTTAAACAAATAACTAGTTAATCTGGTAGGGGGCAAATCAGCCTCATAGGCTTTGCCTCTCTTTTCCCTCCCTTCAGGGCTTTTCCAACTAGTGGACTTCAACCTCCTGTACTGTTTTCTGCTCATTGAACCCCAATCCTCTACTGTCTAAAGCCTTTCATGGACCTGGATTCCCTCCAGAGAAGGCTTGTAGGACTTTAATATGCTCCTTGGACTAATTTGGACCCCTCTGACAAGCTTCCAATTATCATCTTGCTTGATTCTGGGTAGACCCTTTCATGTGCATTTATGTCACTTATTTCTTAAAACTATCCTGTGAAAGACTGTTGGTTCTCCTCATTTGAGAGACAAGGACACGTGGGCTTAGAGACATGAGAATGTTAGACACAGAGCTGGTCATGAAGCTGCTGGTGGGCTCAGCCTTCTAATGCCAGCCCCATCCTCTCTTTGTACATTGCTAGATCTTTGATAGCAACTTCTTAGTTCCCCAAACCTCTGGGGTGGCCCCTCACGGTTTCACTATCCTTAGAGTTGTTATTCCAGTGAGACAGAAGAACATGATTTGTGCTCATTAGTTCAGTCCTCTTGTTTCAGTCCTCAGCTGTCATGGCTGTGATTACATTTCCCCTTCGGTGACTCAGTTTCCCATAAAGGTGTGTCTGGTGACAAAGCACCCTGCCCTCCCGGTGTCGGTGTGTCTCTGGAGCAGCCCTGTGCAGCCCACACAAGCTATGCATGCGAGGTGACTTCTGCTGCCTATTCCCAAAGGAGCAGAGGGATTCTCTTAAAAGGAACCCCAGTAGTTAACCCTTTTAAAAATATATAGGTAGGTCCTCCCTGGTGGCGCAAGGGGTTAAGCTTCAGCAAATGAAGCAATCCGCAGATCCCCAGCCAGAGAGCTGACCTACATGGCACAGCAGACCTCTCCTGTCTCTCCCTCTGCTTCCCTCAGCAGAGTATTTCAGTCAGTCTGCTTGTTCAGCTCCCCACTCTCTCTCCAGTGAATCCTCTCACTGCCTGCACCTCCGGCCTCTACCCCAGTTCTTGTATGCATAAATAATCTTCAAAAAAATACAGGTTGTTGGCAGGGGAGATACCATGATCACAAAAGTGGTTTTCCCAGGGCAAGCCTTATCCATTGCACTCTGGATTTGCTGGCCCCTGCAATTTCCCCAAATGTGGGAAACTCGACTGCATAATTTGTGGTAGTGGGGGGGGGGGACTATGTTCACGCTCTCCCCTGTATTAAAAAAAAATACAGGTAGTCAGAATTTTCTTCTCTGCCAAGAGGAAAGAAGTTGTAAAAAGCTACAGGAGCCACATTCTTTTTATTCAATTTCAGAGGGGACATCTGAACAAGTTAACAAGCCAACCAGAGGCTTCCGTGGGGGTAGATGTGAACTGTGGAGTGGTTGGTTCCAAGTACCAATAGCAATCTTAGAAAGTGTTTCCCTTCTCCTGGCTTCAGTTTCCCCATCTGGACTATTCTAGTTTCTCCTCCACATAATGCCAGAGGAGTTTTCTTTCTAAACATTTAGTGCCTCTGAAGGTTCTCAGGGTGTTCACAATCAATTGCAGGGTACCAGCCTTGGCAGGCAGACCTGTGGGAGCTGGGCTCCATCCATGCTGTAGTCTTTGTGCCCCATGCACTCCAGCATCTCATGCTGCCCTCTACTCTCCCAGATAACCCTGCTCTCACAGGTCAGCTTCTCCACCTACTGGATCTTATTGTCTTTTCGCTTTCTTCTTTCTTTACTTTGAGAATCCATTTTCATGTCACTTCCTCTAGAAATCCTTCTTCATTCTCTCAGGAAAAGTTGGTGTGCATGTGTTTGTGCATATGTGTGCACTGAGTGTGTGGCCATATGATGGATGAAGGAGGTATGTTCCAGTTAGAGGGAAAAGTGGATGCAAAGGAGAAAGAATTTGGAGCACTTTGAGAGAACACATGTGCCTGTTGTGTAGAGAGAATAGGAGATGTGTCTCTAAACTTAGGGTCTGGGAAAGTTTGTGCTCAGGATTTGGACATCATTCTCAATATAGTAGGAAGGTTTTGTTAGAGTCTACTATAGATTTTTTTCTAGTCTACTCTGTTACCTTGCCCTCCTTCTAGATTGAATTCCTTTGGGTCAACATCATTCCTTCAGTTCCACATCCCATATTCTGTAACATAGTGGGTGTTTCATAAATGTTTAGTGTTTAGTAGAATAGATAGATTCGAGGGAGGGAGGAATATGTTAACGAACCCCGGTCTCCTAGAAGTTGTTTACATTCCTTCTCATTTCTCCCAGCTCATACTTTAATATTCTTCCAACCTATTGGTGTAAGTTTGGCAGGCAGATTTTATGGGAAAAGCAAGTTTTCATTTATTGTAGTTTATGTTTATTATATGTACTATATTCTCATTCTTTTATGTGCAAAGAGTGTTTCTTATGCGATACTCTTTGGGGAGATAATATGCAAAGAGATCTTTTATTTCATTTTTACGAACACCACTGCAGTTTGCTAAATCATCCCCTTCAAACCATAGTTTAATTTAATCCAGTTTATTGCTTTCCAAAGCATTTCTTATGAGTAAGGTTACATTCCTTGGTTTTTAAAAATAACTGGCTCTGAAATATGCAAGTGAACTCAAATAGGCATTTGTCCCCTTCAGCCTTTTGGTGTCTGTGTGTCTGTCTCTTACATATGAGTAATGGAACTTACTCACTTGAGAAGAGAAAGATATTCAAAGGGGACATAAAACCATGCATGCTAATGAGTAGTCTGTGGATTTGGAACTAGATGTTTCGGGTTCAAAAATCTGACTCTACTACTAATTAACAGTGTGAGATCTTGGCCAAATAATCTTCTATTTTAAAGCCTCAGTTTCCCCAATTATGGGATGGAAGTAATTGTACTTAGTTTGTATTGTGGTTTTAACAACAGTTTTTAACAAGAGAAATATATATATAAAAGAATAAATGCACATAAAGTTTTTGGTAAAATTTTAACATATATTAAGTGCTAAAGAAATGGTAGTTATTTGTAAGAGTGAAAATGCTGCTTCTTAAAAAAAATTTATTGCGGTGTCTTTGGTTTTCAACACTGTATATGATTTAGGGGTGTGGACTCACACTCTTCATATGTATGTTACCACATCACATCCAGCAACAAAGCACCTATAATCCTCTGTCACAGTCTTTTGGGCCCTCTCCTGCCTTTCCTCATACCCTCCTACCCTTCCCCTCTTGTAGTCTCAGTTCTACCAGATACTCTAGGGTTGCTTTTGTTTAGTTTTACCAGTTCTTTTGTTTTGTTTCTTTAGATTCCACATTAATCATATCATTCAGTATTTGTCTTCCTCCTTCTCACTTATTTCACATAGCATAATCCTCTCCAGTTCCAACCATATTGTCACAAATGGCAACGTGTCATCCTTTTTTATAGCAGAGTAATATTTCTTAGTGTATTTATACCCTGTTGCCTTAATCCATTCACCTGTCATTGGGAATTTAGTTTATTTCCATAACTTGGCTATTGTAAATAATGTTTCAGAGAATCAGATTTTTTCATTCTTTGGGTAGATACCTAGAAACAGAATTACTGGATCAATGGTAATATATTTTTAGTATTTTGAGACCCCTATATACTTTTTCCATAGAAATAGTCTACATTCCCACCAGCAGTATTCCTTTTTTCCCCCCACACCCTTACCCACACTTTTTGTTTCTGATCTTTGTGATATGAGTCATTCCCATATCTCATTGTGGTTTTGGTTTGTATTTCCCTCGTGATAAGTAATAAGGAACATTTTGTCATGTGTTTGTTGTCATCTTTCTGCACTCTTTGGAGAAGTGTCTACTTGGTCTTTTATGATTTATTGGCTTATATTTTTTTGTTTTTGAGTTATGTGAGTTTTGTAGATCTCGAATATTAGTCCTTCATTGGGTATGTAATATACAAATATTTTCTCCTATTCAGTAGGGTGTCTTTTCATTTTAATGACAGTTTATTTTGCTCTATGTAAGCATTTACTTTGTTTATTATTTTGCTTTTGTTTTCCTTGCAATTGGAGTTAAGTTGCCAAACACATATCTGAAGCTAATATCTTAGAGTATTTTGCCTGTGTTTTCTTTTATGCATTTTATGGTTTTTAGTTTTCATCCAAATCTTTAATACATTATGCATTAACTTTTGGGTATGGAGTGAGGTTGTGCTCTAATTTCATTCTTTGTATGTGGCTGTCTTCTTTTCCCAGCACCATTCTTTTTAAAAGATGTTTCTTTCTCCTAGTATGTTCAAAGCACCTTTGTCATAGATTAACGGTGCACATAGTGGTGGTTTATTTTGGGATTCTTAATTCTACTCCATTGGGCAATGTTTGTTTTTTGTTTTTTTTTTAAGTACCATGCATTTTGATTACTATAGCTTTGTAATATAGTTTGAAGTCTGGCAGCATAATTCTTCCAATTTTTTTTTTAAGATTTATTTATTTATGCATACAAGAATGAGGTGTGGGCAGTGAGAGGATTCACCAGAGACAGAGTGGGGAACAGAACAGGCAGAATGACTGAAATAGAATGACTGAAATACACTGCTGAGGGGAGCAGCGGGCAAATTGGGAGAGGTCTGCTGTGCTGTGGGTTGCTCCCTGGCCAGGGATCGAACTCTTGCAGCAGTGGCTGCAGTTAGCTTCATAGGTTGCGTCTTAACCCCTTGCACCACCAGGGAGGCCCTCTTCCAATCTTTTTTGTCAGGATTGCTTTGGCTATTAAGGGTCCTTTACACTTCCATGTAAATTTCAGTAACGTGTGCTCTATTTCTTTGAAGAATGTCATTGACACTTTGAGAGGAAGTGTATTGAAACTGTATATTGCTTTGGGTGTGATGACCATTTTAACAATGTTAATTCTTCCAATCTATGAGCAAGAAAGCCTTTCCATTTTTTTGTGCCTTCTGTTTCATTTAACAATGTCTTACAGTTTTCATTGCATAGGTCTTTTACCTCATTTGATGCAATTATACATGTAATTGTTTTCTTGATTTCTTTCACTTTTAGTTGTTTGTATATGGAAATGTAACAAATTTTTGTATATTGATTTTGTAGCCTGCTACGTCACTGTAATTTTTTTCCATTTCTAATAGTTTTTTTTTTTAATTTCCCAATTTGGATTTCTTTTATAATTTTTCTATTGCCTAATGGTGCTAGTAGAACTTCTAATATTGTATTAAATAGTAATGGTGAAAATGGATGGTGTCAATCAAGTTACTAAACTCATCCAATGAGGATGCCTCTTATCCTCATCTCTAAAATGGGGACAAAGGTTAACAGTTTACCTACTAGGTTTGTTTTGTGGATCAAATGAGCCAGTCCCCATGAAGTGCTAATGAAGTGCCTGGCATATTGTATTTCCTCAGTAAATGTTAGCTTCTCTTATTGCTAATATCAGTTATTATCATGTATGGTTGCTCCTGCTTTCAAATGCAAATAAAAGTGAATTTTCAGACTACCTAAAGGCTAAGTTTTACCCAAGCAAATAGAACTGTATCAGACATTATTGATTGCTCACTTACTGTGATATGCCTGCAAGTTAGAAATATTTTCAGTTTCTGATTTACCTGAGCAATTGCCTTTGTTATGGTAACTGTAATATTCTGGAATTTCCATTAGCATTTAGCTTAGTTGACCCCATTGAAAGGTGCCTAATGACTCAAATGACAGGAATTATCTTAATTAAATAGAATTGTCTAGATCAGTGATGGGCCAAGTCTGAGAATTATTAAAGCCCTTTCATTAATAAAAGGTTCTCCTCATTATGTTGTCTAAGACATCATCAAATGATCAAATCAGGTTTGCTAAGCCCCCTGGCTTGCCAAACAACCCACCCACCTCCCCTGCCACTACCTGGCCACCCCTCTCCTGCCACATGATGAGCTACAAAAGATTTGCTGAGACTTGAGCTAAGCATCCTCAGCACTAGCTGTGGGTGTGGTTAAGTGCTGTGAACACTGCATGAAGCTAGCATAGATTAAAAATTGTTGCTCCTTAGGTAGAGTGTACATACTCATGTGCCTGGAATGTCTTTTTTTTTTTTTAAAGATTTATTTATTTATTTATACAAGCACTGGGTACAGTCAGAAGCACGGGAGGGTGAGAGAATTCACCAGAGCCAGAGCGGGGTACAGAACAGGCGGACCTACAGAATACACTGCTAAGGGGAGCAGCAGCAGGCATGGCAGGAGAGGTCTGTGCACTATGTG